AGTCCAATCACCCTTTGAAAGGGATTTTGTATGCCAGCAATGCCCCTCTGCCATGTACATTGGCCATACCGGACAGTCTACGCAAAAAAATTAATGGACACAAATCTGACATCAGGAATCATAATACTCAAAAACCAGTGGGAGACCACTTTAACCTGTCTGGTCATTCAATGACAGACCTGCGGGTGGCTATTTTACAACAGAAAAACTTCCAAAACAGACTCCAATGAGAGACTGCTGAGCTGGAATTGATATGCAAACTAGATACAATCAATTTAGGATTGAATAAGGACTGGGAATGGCTGAGCCATTACAAACATTGAATCTATCTCCCCTTGTAAATATTCTCACACTTCTTATCAAACTGTCTGTACTGGGCTATCTTAATTATCACTTCAAAAGTTTTTTTTTCTCTTACTTAATTGGCCTCTCAGAGTTGGTAAGACAACTCCTACCTGTTCATGCTCTCTGTATGTGTGTATATATATCTCCTCAATATATGTTCCTTTCTATACGCATCCAAAGAAGTGGGCTGTAGCCCACGAAAGCTTATGCTCTAATAAATTTGTTAGTCTCTAAGGTGCCACAGGTACTCCTGTTCTTTTTGCGGATACAGACTAACACGGCTGCTACTCTGAAACCTATGTTTTTATAGAGGTTCACATTGGTAATAATGATAAAAAAAAAGAATTTTAACAAACCTAATAGGTTAATAGTATTTAGGCCCACAGATCATCCACGTAAGAAAGAAAACCAGAGAACCTGTTTTGTTTCACAGGAGGCTGTGTGCATGGAAGAGAGGTGCCTCCATAGAAGTCAGATCGTGTCAGAAGCACTTGTCTTTCATATTATTTTTCTACTCTCCTCCTCCCCAGTGAATTAGAGCACACTTTATGGGAAGCACCTTAGTTTGGCTAAGTGTCCAGATCTGAACTGAGGACAGGAAGGGAAAGGGGCACTGTCAAGATTACTAGGACTAAAAATGGACCTGCAGTGGCAATGGGACATTGAAGTTCTCACCTGCAAGGCTCATATGTTACGATTTTTTCCCTTAAGCCTGCTGTTGGTGCATGAAGCATTTTGTACTGTATGATGGGATTGCTGCCATTTGCTACTCCATCTTTGAACATGTTTTTGAGAAGCACATGTTTGGATAAAAGAACAGAGTATTTGAATATAAAAGCTGCTGATCTTTGGTACTTAATTTTCTAAAACAGTGTTTTATTTTTAATAGCAAGAATCTCAGAACCATTCCAGAAGCAGAAATTGGATTAGCAGTTATCTTCATATCTATGGAAAGATATTGTAACCCTCAAAACCAGCCTGGCATACGTAATTTTATAAACTTTGTTACTCTGCGGGGGGAGGGGAAGGAGAGGGGTGTGTGTGTGTATATATTTTGTTAGTAGTATTTATTATTTGTATTACCATAGAACCTAGGAGTCTTAGTCATGGCTGATTATCTTAGTTTAAGCAAAGGAGGCAACATATGTCTTTGTATACAAAAGGGTCAAGTAATACCTATTGGCCATTTTCTTTTCAGGCCTATATTTGTTTTTAAAATAAATGTTCTTTTATTTTTTCCATGTAGTATTTTATGCTTTAATGTTTTTGTAATTTTTGCACCAAAGATTATCATATTTATAGATGTAAAGAAAAAAGCAGACACTGACTTAAAATCAGATATATTGTGCAGTGAATATACAAAAACGTATTAAAAGAATGTTTTGAAATCCACATTTTTAAATGGCACACAGGAACAATATATATGTAATCTGCTTATTCCATGCTATCCTGCACCCTTGGAATGAGAACAGTAGTGCAAAGCAGATGAAGGATGAACAGTAGAAAGTAAAAAGAATAAAAAGAATAAGAAATGAATGGGTTTATAATGCAGTTCCTTATTTGCACTTAAAGGCATCAATCTTTTTAAAAAACTAAAATAAAAATTCAGAACAGTAATAGTTTAGTTGGCCTGAAAATGTAATAGGGAAAGGTCTAGACTTCACAGGTTTGGTTTTCGGTGTTTTGTTTCCAAGCATTAGCATAAGAACAGCCATGCTGGGTCAGATCAGTGGTCCATCTAGCCCAGTATCCTGTCTCTGACAGTCGCCAGTACCACATGCTTTTGGCAATTGGAGGTTTAGGGACACCCAGAGTGTGAAGTTGCATCTCTGACCATCTTAGCTAATAGCCATTGAGGGACCTATCCTCCATGAATTTACCTAATTATTTTTTGAACCAGTTTATACTCTAGTATATTGCATTGTATTCACTAATGCAGTAAGAATCTAAATCTATGCCAACCGATCATAGGTTTTTCCTGTTTTCCAAACGTTTGTTTTTTTGGGAGGGATGGGGGGTAGGGCATCAAGTTTGGGACGTGGTTTAAGGGATTAAAATAGTATGTGTTTTGTATTATATTAATAACCTAAGCTATATTTACAGGTTTAAATTACATGCTAGTCTATGTAGTTTTTGAATTAATCAGTAAGTCCTAAAATGGTAGGTATTTCTGGGTCACTGGTGTATGTTTTGAGTGCATTCAGGCAACGAGGCTGAAGGGTGAGGGTGAAATCCTATTCCCACTGAAATCAGTGTGATTTCTGTCATTTGCTCGAAGGATGAGATTCCACCACCTCTCTAGGTAACCCATTCCAGTGCTTTCACTTAGTGAAATAGTTTTTCCTAATATACAACCTAGACCTCCCCCACTGCAACTTGAGACCATTGCTCCTTGTTCTGTCATCTGCCAGCACTGAGAACAGCCTAGCTCCATCCTCTTTGGAACCCCTCTTCAGGTAGTTGAAGGCTGCTATCAAATCTCCCCTCACTCTTCTCTTCTGCAGACTAAATAAGCCCGGTTCCCTCAGCCTCTCCTCGCAAGTCATGTGCCCCAGCCCCCTAATCATTGTCATTGCTCTCCGCTGGACTCTCTCCAATTTGTCCACATCCTTTCTGTAGTGGGGGGCCCAAAACTGGATGCAATACTCCAGATGTGGCCTCACCAGTACAAAATAGAGGGGAATAATCACTTCCCTCAATCTGCTGGCAGTGCTCCTATTAATGCAGCCCAATATGCCATTAACCTTCTTGGCAACAAGCGCACACTGTTGACTCATATCCAGCTTCTCGTGCACTGTAATCCCCAGGTCCTTTTCTGCAGAACAGACGCTTAGCCAGTTGGTCCCCAGCCTATAGCAGTGCATGGGATTCTTCCATCCTAAGTGCAGGACTCTGCACTTGTCCTTGTTGAACCTCATCAGATTTCTTTTGGCCCAATCCTCCAATTTGTCTAGGTCCCTCTGGACCCTATCCCTACCGTCCAGTGTATCTTCCTCTCCCCCCAAGCTTAGTGTCATCCGCGAGCTTGCTGAGGGTGCAATCCATCCTATCATCCAGATCATTAATGAAGATGTTGAACAAAACCAGCCCCAGGACCGGCCCCTGGGAAACTCCTCTTGATACCGACTGCCAACTAGACATCGAGCCATTGATCACTACCCGTTGAGTCCGACGATCTAGCCAGCTTTCCATCCACCTGATAGTCCATTCATCCAATCCATACTTTTTTAACTTGCTAGCAGGAATACTGTTGGAGATTATATCAAAAACTTTGCTAAAGTCAAGATATATCACATCCACCGCTTTCCCCATATCCACAGAGGAATCATAGAAGGCAATCAGGTTGGTCAGGTATGACTTGCCCTTGGTGAATCCTGGTTGACTGTTCCTGATCACCTTCCTCTTCTCCAAGTGCTTCAGAATGGATTCCTTGAGGACCTGCTCCATGATTTTTCCAGGGACTGAGGTGAGGGGAGGCTGAGCAGTCTATAGTTCCCCAGATTCTCCTTCCCTTTTTTAAAGATGGGTACTATATTTGCCTTTTTCCAATCGTCCGGGACCTCCCCCGATCACCATGAGTTTTCAAAGATAATGGCCAATGGCTCTGCAATCACATCAGCCAACTCCCTCAGCACCCTCAGATGCATTAGATCTGGACCCATGGACTTGTGCATGTCCAGCTTTTCTAGATAGTCCTTAACCTATTTTTTCACCACTGAGGGGTTCTCACCTCCTCTCAGCAGTCTGAGAGCTGATCTTGTCTGTGAACACCAAGGCAAAAAAGCATTTAGGACTTCAGCTTTTTCCACATCATCTGTCACTAGGTTGCCTCCCCCCATTCAGTAAGGTTCCCACACTTTCCCTGACCACCTTCTTGTTGCTAACATACCTGTAGAAACCCTTTTTGTTACTCTTCACATCCCTTGCTAGCTGCAACTCCAATTGTGATTTGGCCTTCCTGATTTCACTCCTGCATGCCTGAGCAATATTTTTGTACTCCTCCCTGGTCATTTGTCCAAGCTTCCACTTCTTGTAAGCTGCTTTTTTGGATTTAAGATCAGCAAGGATTTCACTGTTAAGCCAAGCTGGTTACCTGACATATTTACTATTCTTTCTACACATCAGGATGATTTGTTCCTGCAACCTCAATAAGGATTCTTTAAAATACAGCCAGCTCTCCTGGACTCCTTTCCCTCCCTCATATTAGCCTCCCGGGAGATCCTGCCCATCAGTTCCCTGCAGGAGTCAGTCTGCTTTTCTGAAGTCCAGGGTTTGTATTCTGCTGCTCTCCTTTCTTCCTTTTGTCAAGATCCTGAACTCGACCATCTCATGGTCACTGCTGCCCAGGTTGCCACCCACTTCTACTTCCCCTACCAATTCTTCCCTGTTTGTGAGCAGCAGGTCAAGAGGAGCATGGCCCCTACATGGTTCCTCCAGCACTTGTACCAGGAAATTGTCACCAACACTCTCCAAAAACTTCCTGGATTGTCTGTGCACTGCTGTATTGTTCTCCCAACAGATGTCAGGGTGATTGAAGTCCCCCATGAAAACCGGGGCCTGTGATCTGGAAACTTCTGTTAGCTGTCCGAAGAAAGCCTCGTCTACCTCATCCTCCTGGTCTGGTGGTCTATAGCAGATGCCCATCACAACATTACCCTTGTTGCTCTCGCTTCTAAATGTAACCCAAAGATTCTCAACAGGCTTTTCTCCAGTTTCATACTGGAGCTCTGAGCAATCATACTGAGCTCTTACATACAGTGCAACTCCTCCACCTTTTCTCCCCCACCTATCCTTCCTGAACATTTTATACCCATCCATGACAGTGCTCCAGTCATCTGAGTTACACCACTAAGTTGCTGTTATTCCTATCACATCATATTTCCTTGACTGTGCAGGACTTCCAGTTCTTCCTGCTTGTTTCCCAGGCTTCTTGCGTTCGTGTACAGGCACCTAAGATATCTAGTCGATTGTTCTACTTTCTCAGTGTGAATCAGGAGACCTATCCTGTTGCACCTTCCTCCTTGTGTTTCCTCCTGGTATCCCACTTCCCCACTTATCTCAGGGCTTAGGTCACCATCCCCTGGTGAACCTAGTGTAAAGCCCTCCTCACTAGGTTAGCAAGCCTGCCTGCAAAGATGCTCTTCCCTTCCTTTGTTAGGTGGATCCCATCTCTTCCTAGCACTCCTTCTTCCTGGAACAACATCACATGGTCAAAGAATCCAAAGCCCTCTCTCCGATACCACCTGCGTAACTGCGCATTTTCTTCCACAATTCGATGGTCCCTACCTGGGCCTTTTCCTTCAACAGGGAGGATGGACGACTTGTGCCTCAAACTCCTTTAACCTTCTTCCCAGAGCCACGTTGTCTGCAGTGACCTGCTGAAGGTCATTTTTGGCAGTATCATTGGTGCCCACGAGGAGAAGTAGGAAGGGGTAGCAGTCCGAGGGCTTGATCAGTCTCCGCAGATACTCCGTCACATCCTGAATTCTAGCTCCAGGCAAGCAGCACACTGCCTGGAGTTGTATGTTAACTATTGAATCTGTGTGGATTTATAATTAAAATCAGTTAACAGTAATAGTACTGTAATAATGGCTTATAAATACACAGAGCCACAGGAAGAATGCTAACTTTTTAATTGTTCCATATGTTCAACTTGCAGCTAAACAGCCAGTTAGTCCAGGATCAGCTATTCTGCATCCAACCCTTTCTCAGAGTTCAACTGTAGATGAGTCCATAATGCCTGTTACTACAAGTGATAGAGCATATGTAGCTGACACAGAACCAGAAGAACCATGGTAAAGTACACCTTGAAATAGTTTCCTATGTTGATGTCTATAAATAAGGCTATTACCATGTCAGAGGAAATTTGAGCCAGTTATAGACTCGCCATAGTCAGTGGGGCTCAGCATTTGAGGCGGCACTCCCTAACTTGCAAAAGTAAACTGTGGTCGCTATCCACAGTGGTCCAACTTCTGCCTTGAAGTGATAGGGTACAGCAAGAAAGCCAGATGGGGGCATCAGGTTTGACACTAGAAGATGCAATTGGTGATGCAGCAGATCTGATTGGCTCTTTTAACCATGTTCAGAATTCTAAAGCAATTTCATAATTATCTAGATCATCTATTCATAGCAGGTATTAATATTAATTTATATAGTTTCCATAAGTGTTCGTTGTATACCACAGGTACAGCTGCATTACTGTGGTGCTCTGTAATGTGTATGCTGTTTCTACAATGATTGCCTGTATTTTTACTTAGTATTTTTTCCTCCCTTTTGTGTAGTATGGAGATAAGCGGAGAGAAGACAGAGAAAACTCCCAAAATGGATCGAAGAGACAAAATGTATTCACAGAATATAACCAGTGTAAAGGAGACTCCCAGCACTAGTGGCAGTGTAAATACAGGGACGGTATTACCCAGGATGCATAGAACGCTTGTGGTTGACCAAAAAAGTCAACCCCTCTCACCCTCTAAAATTTTAGGAGTTAATAGAAATAGAGAGAGAGCTTCACAGCAAGAGTCTAACTCCATTAAACATTACTTCCAGGCAGCTCCAAAGAAAAGGTATGTTCACGGAAATTCTTTTTTTGGGGGGGGGAGGGCATTTTTCATATTGTCAGATGGTGCTATTTTTGTTTTAGAAAGTAATTTGTTTTAGTTCAAGGGGCATACATTTTATTCCCAATGTAGATTTTACTACCTCACTAAGAAATTGAATTCCTCTATTCATTTTTTATTTTAAACTGGCCCTTTCTAGGTATCTGTTTCCCCAAACAGAAAAGTGTATGCTAAGGTTGCTCAGATTCAAATCCCAACACAATCATGAAAAATGCAGAGAATCGTCAGTTGAGGCATATAAATAAAGATTGCCTTAACTCCCACTTGTATTATGCAATGTTCATGCAGGTGGTTCATCTCTGTAACAAACTCCCATGGATACCCAACATATAGCTAAGCACAGTGCACACAACCAAGTACTCTAAACGCGTAAGCAACATTACAAAATCAAAATGAAGAAAATCATCTCTTGTGGATTTTTGGATTCATATTCAGTCATTGTGTGTTGTTCATTTACTGAGTTTATCATGTTGAAAAATTCTTTGTTTCTTTCTGGCTAAGGGAAAGGATTGAAGAGGGAGAAACATCTGTACCTAAACTGGCAAAGATGGAGGAAAAATCATCTCATCTTTCCAGTCAAACCCAACCCACAACTTCCTTGATGTGGAAAAGTAAAGTGGAACAGACTCAAAAGGAACAATTTACCTTGGATCTGAAAACAAACCTTTCACCTGTAGATACAAGCCTAAAGCTTGCAATAGAAAGTAGCAAATCAGAGAAAGATAAAACTGTTACTAAAAATGTTTCCAGTGAAAAGCCTGCATCAAAGAAGAGAAAAGAGTTAGGTGATTTAGTTGAGGATGCAGCTACACTAGAGCTTGTGTTTGGGAGCAAAGAGCTGGATTGGGAAGCTGAAATGGGGGATTGTGGTGAGGAGCATGGAACCAATATGCAGAAAAAAAGACGTTTGGAAACGAAGGGGAAAAGGATTGAAGAAGAAAATGTAATTCAAGAAGAAGCCAATAGGATATTGGTAAGTAATGTTCTTTATTAATCACTTGTTATGGACCTGATCCTGCAAGTTACAGCATCATTGGAGGAGCCTGTGCAGCAGCATCTTGCAAGATTAGACTGTTAGCACAGAGACAAATGCAGCTTAAGAACAGATACCAGCTTTGAGCAGTTTGAATGCATTGTATTAGCTCTCATGCCGTTATAAATGAGCAGTAGGTATAGTCTGGGGATTTTATGTAAACATTGTGATGAATGAGTTAAAATACACCTCTACCCCAATATAACACTGTCCTCGGGAGCCAAAAAAATCTTACCGCATCATAGGTGAAACCGCGTTATATCGAAATTGCTTTGATCCACCAGAGTGCGCAGCTCCCCCCACCCCACCCCCCAGAGCACTGCTTTACCGCATTATATCCGAATTCATGTTATATCGGGTCGCGTTATATCGGGGTAGAGGTGTATAGACTTCCTTGGTCTCCAGAAGTCACTATCCTGTAGCATTTTTAGAGTTTATTTCCCCAGATGGAGGCACTTTGTAACTTTAAACTGGCATCAGTTATTTACACTTCATACTTTCTTTCTGAAGTTGTCAATTTGCTCTTGTTAAAAAAATACAGCCTTTGTAAGCAGAACAGCCAATCCTTTTCCTGTCCTGAACAGAAGTTTTTTAGTACAGTGTGCAGTTATTGTTATTAACTGTTATGCTCCTGAATTCCCAGGAGAAACTGTGTCAAGTTCCTTTCCAGCCAAAGAATTTCTGTAACTGTGTGTTGGGTGTCAGCAAGATGATATATTGTCAGATCATTATGTATTCTTAGCATTCTCACCTAATAGCTCTCAAATAGCTACGCCCCATATGTGAAACAGAGACACTAAGCTGCATAGACAGATGTCTGATCTGATATGGGGTTAATTTCTTCACTATTTTTCTTAAAGTATAAGTATATTGCAGCTTAAATATTTTAGCAAACCTTATGGGTTTATGAAAATCACTGTAAGTGATGAGTATCTGAAACATTTTGGTTGAATGTAAACAGCTCTTGTGACTTTTTTCTCTTTTTCCCCCTTTGGAAATATGCCTCTGTTTGCCACAGAGATTCTTTCCTAAGTAAAGCACTGTCCCATTTTTGCCCCCCAAACATGCTCTTCTGTATGCTGACTCCATATATCAGTCTTTGTTGGGCTGCCACAGTAAATCAGACACTTGTATGCACAATAGTAAATTAACTAACGTTGCTCGCCAATGAAAACTCCTTTTCTAGAGGTACATTCTGAAGTTTTGAAAGCATGGCACTTGGAAAAGCCAAGAATGTGGCAACAAAACTAGTCCCAGATTAGCATGCTGTGACCTTTAGCTAAACAACAGATATTGGACACACAGGTTACACAACTTTTTTTATCTTCAGATTGCAGAAAGAAACAAGAGTTTTAAATGTTCTTATTTAACATTTATATAGCACCATAAATTTATACAAAACTTGTAGAAATGTAAAACTGTTCTTACTTGGGTGACCAGATAGCAAGTGGGAAAAATCATGACACTTTTTTTTCCGCTGGGGGAAGGAGGAGGAAATATAGTTGCATATACAAGACAGCTCGTAATATTGGGAATCTTGTCACCCTAGTTCTTACCCCAAAGAGTGTATAATCAAAGTTAGACAATGTGAGTGATGGCAGCAGGCAAATGGAGGAATAAGGGTTATAACAAATAAGGACTCATGTGATTGATTGTGTGGTTATGAGCTTGTGATTACTGACTCTTTTAAATTTGAGATTGAAGTAAAGTCCTAGAGGAAGAATAGAAGGCACTGGATGTTTGGTCTAATTAAAAATAAGTTACTTGGAGGAGGACAAGAGAAGATGCTTGGGAGAAGGATGATATTAAAAGCATAGGGGACAAGTGTGTGTATGTGGCGGTGGTAAGGGAGCAAGGATTAGGTTTAATTGACATAGTGGTAAAAACACCACAAGTTGCTGAAGCTTAATCTACACTGGTGGGAAAATGATCTAGTGTAGACATGGCCTAAGTGCTGTAATAATAATAATGGATTTTTTTATTTGCGTCAAATAACTCTCCACATTATACAGTAAAGAATCCCCCCACTTCACCTATATTATGGAAGGTCAGCACCGAAAATTACTTGTTTGTTGAAATAAAGGAAGCTGATGACATTCACCTGAACGAGAGCACTTCTAAAGTTTCTTTAGACATAGTGACTAAAGAATTTATTATAAGCTTAATTCTTCATGTGGTAGACAAGTTCTTGCCTGATAACTGTGGCCTGGAATCCTTTTTTTGTTTGTGTCCCTTTTCAGAGGACAGATACGTGTTTTTGGACACTTTCTGGAATCTGAGGGTGCAAAGTCTGATTTGTACTGAGATTCTGGTCATGTGGCTGAGGTAAAAGTGTAGACAAGGCTTTAGTTTTCTGGTGTGAAAGAACGTTTGGTATTGAGCCAAAAATGACAGGGACTTTTGATAAAAGGCAAAATTTTAATCTAATCTGACCACTTGGGCCACTGCAAGTAAACACTTTAGGAAACGTTGAGTTGATACTAGCACCTTCCCCACCTGATTTTTTCATAACAAACATCATTTGTGACCTCAACACACCTTTATAGCAGAAATAGAAAAGTCTTAGAGAAGTTATTAGCTATTGAGCAAAATTGTGATATGTAGTATGTATTATGCTTTCCCTTCTTTAACTACAGGCTGTGCGGAGACTAGCCTTGATCCTAATCACGATTGCTCCCAAATTGACACTTACATTTAGTTATTTCCTGACCATGAACTCTGGGATATACTTTAAAATAGAAAACTCAGAGTTTGATTCATACCTGAAAATTTAGTGATTTTCATAATCCTTACTGGTATGATTTTAGGAATTATGAATTCTTAAGGAAAAACACTTGTTTTCTTATACTAAAAAAGGTAATCTGAACAAACCAGGGACAGTGGTTTTATTAGAACAATGCATTGGTAAAGTATATGTCCAGGGTATTTTAGGGTTTTTTTGTAAATATGCAGTCATAATTTACATTTACAATGATTGCTCTTTAAAATTGTTTGGTCAAACAGCAGGAAAATGAACTTGGCACTGTTCCAACTTCAAAGAAGAAAATTGAGATTAAGCAAGAATCATCAGTTTTGGTAAGAAACTAGTCAAATGTAAGCAATACCTAGCATTAGTTAATACTCAGAAATGTGAAGGAAATGTATCACCGTTTTTTGCTTTTAAAACTAAGTTCATATGTGTGCAGTGGACATAGGAGGGTTTGATGAATGAGGGCTTATTTAAACATAAAAGTTGTACCGCTTTAACTATATCAGTATATAGTCAAAGACGTACAGGTACACCACCAACTTCTCTTATGTGGATGCAGTTACATTGGTATAAAAGTGCTTATCCCATGTAGATTATTACCATAAGGGAAGGGAGATAAATACACCAGTAGAAGTCATCTTTTATATTGGTGTAACTGTGTCAATAATAGGGCTTTCAGTGGCATAAAATTATTACAGTAGAATAAATCATACCCTTAACCAAAATATTATTATTAACCGTGTTTATTATGGTAGTCCTATGCCAAGAATAGGCCCTCCTTGTGCTAGGTGCTGTACAAATAGTAGTAGAATTCCTGTCCCAAAGAGTTTATAATCTGAATAGCCCAGACAGACACAGGGTGGGTGAAGGGGTATAACACACAAGCAAAGTAAAAATATGATGGCAGCAAATGTCATATTGGTTCCATAATTTTGAGGGGTTGGAAGATCAGCTAATTAGAGGGAAAATGAAGGAAGAAGGGGCACTGAAAGAAAGGGTGTGTGTGGAGGACAGGGCAGGGGAGAAGAAGTTAAGAGAGTAGGTGTGGAGTGAAGATGACGTGAAGAGATCATGAGGGGGAGAGGGTTGAAGCAAACAGCCAATCAGCACAGGGCAGAGAAAGTCCAGTCAGAACCATAGAAAGTTGTTTGAATGTCCAAAGGTCCCTGACTTGGCTGCTTCTGCAGCTGCTCCTATGGGCTGGAGTCTCTGGGTACATCGACACTGCAGCTGGAGATGTAATTTCCAGCTCGGGTAGATGTACACACGATAGCTGTGATCAAGCTGGTTTGCTAAAAATAGCAGGGTAGCCATGGTGGTGCAGACAGCATCACGAGCTAAGCGCCGGCATACAGTCCCCTCTGAGACACCAAGTATGTACTCAGTCGACTAGTCCAGTGGTGTGCAAACTTTTCCAGTCGCACCCACCCCCTTACCATTAAAGGAATCTGTTCGTTGTTTCCAAACACTCACACACGCACACACACTACTGCACAGCCAAGGCCTCCTCTGCACCGGGCTTATTCTTCCTTCCAGCCAGTCTTTCACTGCTAGGGCAGGGCCAATACCTCCTCCTCTGCCCCACCCTCCTCTGGTTTTCAGGGTGGGGGAAACCACATGTGATGGTCTCTGGGGGGTGGAGCCAGAGCTGGGCACGGAGCCTGCTGGGGGTGGAAATTGTCGTGGCACACTGATCCATAGGCTGGGTGACCCGCTGAGGTGAGTCGGGGTGGAGGTGGCGCTCTCTCCCCACCTCCCCTATGGGGGCTGGCCCAGGCCCTACTGCACGGAGCTGGCACTGTGTCAATAATAGTGGCATCGCCACTTGCCCCCCGAATGTTCCTCTGGGTGTGCCCCACAGTTTGCACACCACTGGTCCTAGCTCATGATGTTGTTCACACTGCAGTGATTACACTGCTATTTTTAGCATGCTAGCTTGATCAAAGCTAGTGCTTGTACATCTACCTGAGCTGGGAATTGCATCTCCAGCGGCAGTGTAGACCCAAGTCCAAATCTCGTTCCTCCCTGCAGTTTTTCCCCCAAAGCCACATGGCAAGGGGAGGAACCACCTGGGTCCGAGTTTCCTCAGAGTGGGGGTAACACTTAAGTTTAGCCTTAGTTTACTAGAAATCTAGTTTTAAATTTTAAGCCTTATCTAGACTGTTATGTTCTGAGCTAATATCTGCCTTCCATTTCTAACCCGTCAAGGGTACATTCTCTGATCTCTTAAAAATAGGCTCTTAGTTTACTGAACAACTTGAAGTTCTCCTTTCCCCTTTTTCCTCTCACAAGAACACTGACGGACTTCAAGATGTCTCCAGCAATCTGCCCAGCAGACTCTTGTTGACTGAATTTAGATCACTGGTTGTTAGCCATCCAAGGCCAAATAGTCTTGTTGCTGCACAAATCAATTATAAGCAACTGAACAACTTTAAGAAATTCAAAAAGGTGAGTGCATATTTTAAACTGCCACAAGATGGCACTGTTTGAAATAGCTATGTAAGTGTTGCTAATACAATAGAAATGTTATTAGATGAAAGGCATTCTTAGAGATTCTACTTCCACTTATATTTTATTAACTTACTGTCACCATTGTGGTAAAGAGCAAAATACGGTGGCTATTTTTGTATTAATTTATCAGACAGATACCAGAGAAGGTCACCTCCCACCCACAGGCAACCCATGGGGGGGCATGCGGAGTCACGTGCCCCCCAGATTTGCTCCTTGCCTTGTACTGAGCATGCTCACATGGACTGAGCATGCCCTTACCCGCGTCCTCCCCCCATCAGCTGGCACGGGTCGTCTCTGCTCCCACCAGATGATTACCTAGAGACCTGTGTTCTTTTTGGAGGCTTGTGCAGTTCTTACTCAAGCTGACTCATTAAATGATACTGTGATCTTGAACAGTATTATAACTTCAGGTTGTATCTCCTCTTGGGCTTACTGTGTCACTTTCAAATAACCTATTGAGAACATATATTGGCTTGAAGTTTTACGTTTTGACTACGAAAATTTGGATTTCTAACATACTACTAAAATGCATGTCTTATAAAACTAAGATCAACTGGGTTCTGAGACTGACTTTTACAAAACTTTGTGTTCATTGTAGGAATATAGCTTCAGCCCAGAATTTAAAGAGAAAGTGCAGTGTAATCTAAGATATGCAATACACTACATTTAAGTAAAAAATGTAAATGCCTTTAAATGGACATGGTCATCTTGAAAATCACATTTGTATGAAAATATTGTACCTACCATAGTTCCAAGTAGCATTTTAAAGTTGTTTAATAGAACATGCAATATCTTTGAATGTATCATCCTTTCCATTCTGCATTACAAGTTCTTCTCTACATCAGACTGGATTAGAAACTTAAAATATCAGTTTCTGTTGTTTTCAAATGCATTTAAAATGTATTAGCTTATTAATTTAACAGATTAAAAATATAACTATTCACAGGTCTTTCTTTGGGGGGAGGTTTGCAGGTCGTGTGCTATTTAAGTAGAACTATTCATTGCACAGATACTGTTAGACAAATTGGATGAAAGGTATTCTGCCACTGTAAATTTACTAGAGGTGACTACTCTTGTTTTGCACGGTTGTCAGCCTGCACTAGAACAAAAAACATTTCTTGTCCAACAGGTACCTTATCCTGGAGCAGGACAACTTCCACATATTATTGGAGGATCAGATCTGATAGGTCATCATGCCAAAAAGAATTCACAGTTGGAAGAATGGTTAAGGCAGGAAATGGAGGTAAGGAATTCTTTCCAGGCAACAAAACAACTGCGGTCCTTCCCAAGAACAGGGCAGCTCTGTACTAAAAGTTGAGCCTATATGCTGAACAAATCTGTCACTTAACACATCCAAAAAGGTGCTAGGGATGTGACCCAAATAAACAAAAGGGGTTCAATGATAAGGCTGACATTCTACTGATTCTTTTGGATAAATCTGATATGTAATATTAATAAAAATTTTAATAAGATGTTTAAATCTTTCACACTGTCGGTACAGAGGAGTCTGCTGTAAAGGAAAAGGCACTGACCTAGGGGAAAGTGATTTTAATGACTGAGTAAAATAAACATTTTATTGAAGCTCAGCCCTGCATAAATTCTGAGTGTGGCAGTGAAAGTTTTTATATTAACAAGCTCAGTGACCTCAGCGTTCAAGGTACTCATGCAGCACTGCTGATGGTCTGCTCACAGACTAGAATGCAGTTGATATTCAGATGAAAAATATATATGAGATGTGCATGTTGTAATCAGGAGACTGAATGTTGTGTTTTTCACTAGAGAACATATTGCCATTTGTATGTAATTTATATCTTGCCTTAGCAGTTCTCAACTTTTTCATTTTGTGTGCTGCTTCTTTAAAAAAACCTCCTCTCACGGGCCACATCCCATCCCAATCTTGCACTCCAGGTTCCATATCTTTCCTGTGGTATCAGTATTACCTGGTTAATTGGAAAGGTAATAAGACAGTATTAAGGAGAAAATGTGATAGGTGGGACTTCTTGAGTTTTTTACTCCATTCCCACTTCTGTATTTGCTGTTTATTTCCTCTCCCTGATTTTAGCAGTTGATTTCAGTGCTAGATTTTACCTTGCAGTAAAGCACTGCATAATCTCGCCTGGCCACATTGAAATTTGTCATCTTGGGTGCTTGTTATCCTAATTTGGCATCCACCACAAATTTACTCATTGTTGAATTTATATGAGGCACACCTATGAAGGACACGAGCAGTGGAGCAGAGAGGTTCTGACTCCTTTTTCCCCTCTCACCCTCCAGCTCAGGTAGCTAAAAAAGGCCTTTGGAAGCTCTAAAATTAATCATAACCTGGATTCCAATTAACAAAGTATCCCCTCTTGAAAACAGCCATAGATGCTTTACTCCCATGACAGAAGCAACTCCGGTTAGAAGAGGTCAGCACACCACAGTTTGAGAGTATGCTGCTACCCAAATTTTTTAAAGTTTAGAATATAGTTTGCGTAAAAAGGTACCATGCCAGCATGTTGGCCTAACCCTGAGAGATGCTAAAGCTCTGTGGCTTGTATTGTCTTTAGTTGTGGATGTTCAGCACTTCTCCGGCTCAGCTCTTAAAATTTTTATAGCAACACAAGGGATCAAACTCATAGGACAGTTTGAAATGGTGAAATTTGCAGCTCCTTTTGCCCCTTCCCTTTTCACCACCAAAGCATACATGTTACACTTAGATAGCATAGATTTTAACTTAGGCTCACAACGTACCACTTACACACCCCTGTAACTCATCACCTGTATTAGATAGACTTAATTACTCAAATTCAAAGTTGGTGCAGTGCAGACTCAGTTGCTGAAAGATGATAGCACTGAATGAAAAAACCCTGTAGCAGGAAGGTATAGGTAGTTGTAAACTAAAGTAGATCATCCATTACTTTAACTTGCATCTCCTTGGCATAAGTTACGTTAACTTACAGCTACTTGACACTGAATAAAGGAGTCTGCCTTCACACCACCGCTGAACTAGTTTCAGAGTTTAAAACTAATTGTGACAAAACTCAAAATTTTGACCATTAGGTTTCTGCTTGTTGCAGTTTGTCTGACATTCCTGCTTCTGAAAGTTCCATCATGACGAGTAATGTAAAGCCCTGAATATTTTTCTGTCCCCTTCATTTTTGTCTGACACAGGACAGCTACACTGTGCAGTTAGCCCAGGTAATTGGCACCTGGGTCTGAGCATTTGAGTTAGCCTAGCCTGTGTATGAGCATTCCCACAACAAAGCTGTCCCTCTGTTACTGTGTCCTCATTATTACTGCTCTCATCCATGAATGTCTGGGGCACAGCCTATGGGTTTTTGGTGCAGAAACTCTCTAATATTCTTTTCCAGTAAATTGTGGGAGAACTTCTCGGTCCTTTGGTGGAAATTGTGGGAAAGGATTTTGTAGGACTTTCAGCACACGAGTGATCTTGCCTGCATCTTCACTGCAAAGTAGGCAAGTTCTAGCCTGAGCTAAACCACAGCTCTGGCTTTAATCCGTACCCCTACCCATGCAAGCAAGCATAAATTCAAAGTCCAAATAAGCACATGCTTGAGGGTTTTGTGTGTGGATGAGAGTGGTTTGGGCAAAAACATGTAAGAGCATGGGCTAAGACTAACTACAGTGATGACATTCCCACAAGTGTCTGATCGTTTTTCAGATTGGTTTCTGTAACTATGGTCTACTTTAAGAATTGAAAACCATAATCTGACATTCCTGTAAAATGCATTGTATGTGACGTATTGACAGCAAGATGTCTCAGTACAGGACTGTTGTGTTAGTATGAACAATATTGAAGAGATTTACTTTATTTTGTCAGGAACAGAATCGGCATGCAAGAGAGGAATCACTCGCTGATGATCTCTTTAGGTAAGGGATTTTTTTGTTAGTGCTTTTAAAAGGTCTGATATGTTATACCTCACCTCACTTATTTTCTGGACAAATTTCAGTTTTCTAATTAAACCGTGATGGCTAATGCTCCATTGGCGGCCTCCTTTCTTGAGACCACATCTGAGTAGAACGTGGCATCCTCTTCTGCTCTTTCCTAACTTTCTTTATACCTTAAACTTCATCAGTTCCTGGGCCATACATGACTCCTTTTAATATAATGTTCAAAATGACTAGTCTTGTTGGTAATTAGAGCCTTTTCAGATAGAATTGTTGCTGCGTCATCTCCGTCCTATAAACTCCACTTTAGCCCCTAATTCCAGGAACCTGGGCATTAAGTTTGAATCAAGAGTCACTTTCCTACTTGTGAGGATGCAGCTTTCCTTCCTGCTATCAGAGTTTGCCAGTGCCTGTCTCCCTATTGGTTGGAAGGTTTTGCTCTGGCTGAACCAGAGACTCCCCTTTCCAGCATAAACAAAACTAGTCCAAAATAAAAACAGATTGCTTGGGTTATAGTGCTGTAATCAGAGTCTGGGGGGGACCCTCTCCACTTTTCACAGGGGGGCTCATACCTTTTCACACAGGGATCCTAAATGGGCCTTTGCCCCATTCATTTCCAGGCTTCTGCCCAGGCTGCTGCTTCGGCCCTTTCTCCATGAAAAGATCAGTACTGCGCTTCCCTCGTTTCCTTTTTGGTAGAGAGACTCTCAGCAGGTCTTGCCATCTTCCTGATCTCTCTCTCCAGAATAAAGCAAACCTTTTTATATCCAGCATGCTGTTAGAAGCCTACAGTTCCCCTGGTTCTGTGGCTTCTGATTGGACTACAGGTCACAGAATCCCCCTGTTTGGGGCAGGGCCCATGCCACAGGAGTGAGGTGACACCTCTTATCCTGGCTCAAGACATGGTTATGTTGCTGTATCTTGTACGTCTGTAAATCTACCCTGTGTAAAGCACCTTCTCTTCCATAAACCCTCTTCACCAGTTTTCTGCTGATATCCTCATTTTACTTTTACTCCTCCTCCCCTGTCTGCCCTCTTTAGAGACATTAGATTCTTCTTCCACACTATTCCTTGGCCAGTTCATTCTCTGCCTCTCTACATCCTCTTTTCCTAGGCATGAGTCTTAACCCAATCTCTAATAATAAACAAAAATGGAAGCCCACTGCTAGGCAGTCTGCTTCTCTTTATTCAGTTTTTCTCTTTAAAAGTCACTGTATTGTTCTGCATTGTTCCAACATATGCAAATTGTATGATATGTATTGTAAACTGTATAGTTTACTTGTATGTGTATGTGTAGATTGTAACCTGGAATGAAGTATTTTGTGATTATTGCTAGAGCTCTTTTTTTTTTCCAGTAATCATGAGAGTGACTCTCAATTCACACACATTCACTTAGTTAAATCCTTATTTGCAACTTCACCAACAATATGATTGTTTAGAAAGAATTAATTTTTCATTGCTCGTTAAACCTGCTACTGTTGGAACTTTTAACTAGGGGTGGAAGAACCCAGAAAAATTCCAGCTCTGATTGTTTAATTTTACAGTTGGTAAAATTATGCAAAAATCACAATTTGCAGAATCCAAACTCCTCTGTAAAAAAGAATAGAAATGCCTGGGCAGTAGAATAATTATGAGTAGGGCCCTAACATTCACAGCCATGCAAAACGTGTCACGGACCATGAAATCTGGTCTTTTGTGTGCTTTTACCCTATACTATACAGATTTCATTGGGGAAACCGGTGTTTCTCAAATTGGAGGTCCTGACCCAAAAGGGAGTTGCAGGAGGGGTCACAGATTATTATAGGCGGGTTGCGGTATTGCCTCCCTTACTTCTGCGCTGCCTTCAGAGCTGGACCGCCGAGAACAGGGGCTGTTGGATGGACACTCAGCTCTGAAGACAGCGCCTCGCCAAAGGAGCAGCGCAGAAGTAAGGGTGGCAATACATAATATACCATACCACCCTTACTTCTGCACTGCTGCCTTCAGAGCTGGGCGGACAGAGACTGGTGGTTGCTGTCTGAGGGCCCAGCTCTGCAGGTAGCAGAGCAGAAGTAAGGGTGGCAATACCATACCAAGCCATCCTTCTGCGCTGCTGATAGTGGTGGCTTTGCCTTCAGAGCTGGGCTCCCGGACAACCAGCAGCAGCGCAGAAGTAAGGGTAGCAGTACCACACACACACACACACACACATTCCCTTTTTGGGTCAGGACCCCTACAATTACAACACCGTGAAATTTCAGTTTTAAATAACTAGAAATCATAGTAAATTTATGTT